ATTCTGACTTATATACTAGGGGAATTTTAATAACAAAAACTATTTTATTATTAATAAAATAACATGAAAGTTGGCTCACATCGCTCAACGAGTGGATATTATCTAAACTTAAACTAATAGGCAATTCATTATCCTTATTTAAATCCTTAATGCTATGTGTTAATTCATCATAGAGTTGTTTTGGGGTTAGTATGGAGGGGTGTATAGAATGGCTTTTAGTAAACATAATCGCGTTAACAATGTCGTCTAACTTAAATGATAATGTTAGTAAACTAGAAGACAATTCGTTATAAATTTCATTCATTTTAGACTCTACATACAATTCCTTTGGTAAATTAGTTATATTATTCAATACAGTTGAAAGGTTTTCGATTGCGTTACCCATTCGAGCTTCATTAATACTAATCAATTTTAGTGTATCGTTATAATTTCTCAAGGCTGTGTTTGTCATTAAAATATTATCCTTAATTAGGGATGACAATTTTTTATCGTTACTTTCTAAATGTTGGATTGCAGCATTATACCGAAACGAGTCGTTTTCATCCATGGTGCCAATCAAATGCTTAAACAATGTACCAAAGCCAGGAAACCATGCTGATCTCTTATTTCTCTCGGGTATCAGGTGTGATATTGAGTCATAATCCCTTAAGATACCCTCGAGACGGGAGGTTAAGGGTTGCAGAAAATTGTGACATTTGGAAACGTTCAGGTCATGTTGCTGACAAAGAGTTCTAGCACCACCTAAAGCAGTCCTTATGTTTTGTATATGGGGTTTGATATACCCAATATCTATGGGTACTAGGACGTGAAGGTAATTATTAGAGACTCGTAATATTCCCAAAGGGTCAAAATGAATTCCTGCACTTTCTTTAATAGGTTCTACGACATCAGTTGTTGCAACGGAGAAACTGGTCGCGATGATTCTGGAATGATAGTATATAATATCTTAAGAATTACGTTTTAAGCATGTTTAATCTCGTCATAATGGTATTTTACATGTCTTCTGTTCATCAGTATGGTAAGTGTGTTATTGCCATTGATTCGAATGACTTTATAGGGTCCCTTCCAGATGGGTGATAAAGCTTTGCGGAGCCGTAAATGATTTTTGACGTATACCATATCACCTGCTTTATACTTCATTATCTTTGTGTGTTTATCATAATATGTTTTAGATGTAGTTTTGGACTTCAGTATATTCTCTATAGCTTTTTCTCTAGAGAGGCGTAAGCGTTGTTGTAAGACTCTAACGTAACTGTTATATGTGGATTCCAAAGAAGAGTCGTAAATGGAAGATGGTATAATGGCTTTGTGACCGAAGACTAGTTCATATGGTGTGAAGTTGGTAGTAGAATGAACGGTAGTATTATAAGTAAGCATAGCCGTGTACACATAGCGAGGCCAATTGCCCTGATTTTCATCGACAAATGACTTTAAGTACTCTTTTAGAGTCGAGTGACTCCTTTCTAGTGCTCCTTGAGTTTGTGGATGGTAAGGGGTTGACCACAGCTGTTTAATCTTTAGGAAGCTGCAAGTTTGTTTAAACAGTTCAGCTGTAAAATTGGTACCCTGGTCGGTTAAAATAGTTTTAGGAATACCAAACTGACTGATGAAATGGATTAGACATTCAGATGTTTCTTCTGCTGTGGCCTGAGATATTGGATAAGCAGCTGAGTATTTTGTGAGGTCATCCTGTAGTGTTAGGATGAACTTCAATTTAATATTACCAGCTTCAGGAAGTGGGCCTACTATGTCTAAAGCGACACGCTCAAACGGCTGGGTAGACGTGGAAGTTATTTGCATTGGAGCGCGGTTCGTCTGACGCAGTGCTTTATTAGCTTGGCAGTATACGCAGCTACGGACATAATTCTCAACATCAGTTCGCATATTCCGCCAATAGTACCTTTCTTGAATTCTCTTTAACATCCTATTGGAACCCAAGTGGCCAGAAATAGGGATGTCATGATTTTCCCTTAGAATTTTGGTAATATCGCTCATAGAGGGGTACATTATGGTGTTCTTGTAAATGTGTACACTAATATTTGTATTATGAAACAGATATGATATGATATTATATATTTTAAAGAAGGCGTGACAGTCGAAAGGATTACTAAAATCAGTAATACTGAATTCGTTTATTTTTGATATTAAGAATTGTGACTTTAGGTTTTTAAGGCTTTTGAAAACGTCGTCATAAGTTGTATTGTCATAATGATAAACTTTGATAAATAGGAAGTAATATTTAACATCGTTCTTATCAATTGTTATGAATGAATATAAAGTTCTTTCTAATGCTAAGAATTCTTTAGAATCAGGGATGTTGCCAATTATTTCAGATATGTACCGATTTGACTCATCTAGGTCGATAGAGGTAGGTATTACGATGTGCTTCGAATTTGTTTTTAGAATGTTTTCGTTATGTTCTCTGATACTGGTGTCAAATGCCATTGTTTTATTATTTATAGATTTCAAGCATTTGGAGTAAGTATCGTCATCATTACAGGATTCGGAGGATGGTGGACTAGGAATATCAAAATCATCAGGGAGGTCTAAGTCTTCTGGTAAAATAAAGTCGTCTGGTAGTTGCAGGTCAGGTAGGTCATAGTTTCCAATATCAGGTTGTGATGAGCACTGAGGGGGAACTTCTTCTTCAGTTCTTGCGGGATCAGAAGTATTGCTTCTAGGAGCCGATTCTGGATGATCGTCAGGTAGCCCATTTTCTGAATGATTATCGTCTACTTGTCTTTGCAATGGATTTAATGGGTATCGAGAGAGCGCGTCTGCATTGGTGTTAGTTTTGCCTTTTCTGTACTGGATTTCGTAATTATATTCTTCCAGCTTCAAGCGCCAACGGACCAATCGTGATCCGGGATCTTTACAGTTGAAAAGCCAATTTAAAGGTTTGTGGTCGGTAATTATGGTGAACTGTCGTCCAAAAAGGTAGGGTCGGAATGTTTTAGTTCCGTAAACAATAGCTAGGCACTCCTTTTCGGTAACACTATAATTGCATTCGGCTTTATTGAGTGTTCTGGAGGCAAAGGCTATAGGTTGATCCTTACCAACTGCGCCTTGCGAGAGAATAGCTGAGATAGCGTAGTTCGACGCATCACATGTTAGAACAAATGGTTTTGTGAAGTCAGGGTATATGAGAACTGGTGCTGTTACTAATTTTTCTTTTAATAATTCGAATGACAGTTGTTGTGTGTTAGTCCAAATAAATGGGACATCTTTCTTTAAGAGGTTTGTCAATGATTTTGCATGCTTTGAAAACTCAGGTATGAACCTTCGGTAATATGACGCTAAGCCTAGGAATGATTTTATATCTTTTGCACACGTTGGCACAGGAAATTGCGTTACAGCTTTAATTTTCTCTGGGTTAGGTTTAACTCCTTCGCCACTGATAACATGACCCAAATATGCGACTTCTTTCCTTAAAAACTCACACTTATCGGGCTGGAGTTTTAAACGGAAATTTCGAAGTTTATTGAAAACTAGGTTTAACTTTTCAATGTGAGACGGAAGATCATATGAATAGATTACGATATCATCAAGATACACAAAACAGTGTATCCCTTGTAGTCCAGACAATACAGTATTCATAGTTCTTTGAAAAGTGGCGGGTGCATTCTTTAACCCAAAGGGCATCCTATTAAATTGAAAATGCCCTTGCGGTACGCTAAAGGCAGTTTTTGGTGCATCAATTGGAGACATCTGAATCTGATGAAAACCGGAAGCAAGGTCTAGAGTTGTNACGAAGGGCTCGACGAGCGAACTAACCCATAGACACAGCCCACTGAGTTTCTCGCCGGATCTTCTCAGTGGGTCGCGTTTCCGATCCGGTGGTAGATTCTGCGAAGCACTGCTCTTGCTAGGGTCAGTGTTAGCAACTCTCCGGTTGAGCCCCGCGAGCTCACCTACTAACGTTAGGGTGAAGCTGAAATAGCCTCTCATGGCTATCAGCATAGCGATATTGCGAGCTGTTTCTGCAGCGTTAGTTCCGCGTCGAAACTCGTATTTAAAAATCACTCGAATTTTTGAAGTATCCATCTTTCTTGCCTAAGCTGAATAAAAAAACAACTGAAATTGAATGTTGCACATTTAAAAGAAGAATGATCCATTTGAAAAAGTTTCACTCAAAAATCTTAAGCCACGAAGGTTCTATGTCAATTCGAAGTACCTATTACAATAGAACGGCTATTTCATAATTTCACCCCTATAGCATTTTTTTTTATTCTGGGAAAAGGTATCGTGCCATCATTAATTATAATTGAATATATCAAGGAACGTAACATTATACATTCCTCTATGATATTTATTCGTAGTTTGGCCTTAGATTTGATCATCGTTACTCTCGTATTAGAAACAAGTGTAAACTCTGTAACTGCTTACAATGACCCTTTTTTTAGCAAGATTCCTACGCCGTGTGACATTTTTGTTGAGTTTTGCCGAACAATAAAGATCCCTTCCTTTCGCAGTCACATGGTTGCTGCTCCGCGGCCCTTTCTTATCGCTAACACTCATTACATTTACTTAATAAATGTGATCTGTGTCTTTAATAAAATATGGCAGCGTACTCTCCTGTTTTAAGTTTCTTACAATTTGAAGTCGTCGTGGCCTAAAGGATAAGACGTCCGGTGCATTCGTATATAGCGATGCAACGGTGTTTGAATCCCGCAGGCGGGTACCAATTTTTCTAATGAAATAACTACTTAACAATTGTTCACGATTGACTTCCACGGTGAAGGAATAACATCGTGTAATAAAAATCAAAATTATAATTTGCGTAATTACTGGTGGTAGGACGTCATGTGAGACCCCACGGGTAGGTACCACCACCCTGCCTATTTCTGCCGTGAAGTAGTAATGCGTTTCGGTTTGAACGGTGGGGCAGCCGTTGTATCTATACTGAGACCTTAGAACTCATATCTCAAGGTGGGTGGCGGCATTTACGTTTTAGATGTATAGGGCTCCGGTAACCACTTAACCAGCCATATCAGGTGGGCTGTGAACTCGTCCACATATCTAAGCAATAAAAAAATGTTAATAATTATCGATTCAGCTTCGAAATGTACGAAACCAAATGAAGTGTTCGACGAATGCCCGAAAACATGTCCACCCAGAATATGTGGCGTAGATGAACGCACGATAAGGTGCGCTGCTCCACCCAAGCCTGGGGATCCTGCATGCAAGCCGGGATGTCGATGTGCTGACAATTATTATCGTAACGAACAGGGTACTTGCGTTACGAAGAAACAGTGCAGTATATAAAATTATAACAATGAAAAGCTTATAACAAAAAAGTTGTTGAACGTTGATATTTCTTTTTAGAAATCCAATGTAATAAGAATGAGGTATTCGATTTATGTCCTGCCCCATGTCCTCCAAGAAGATGCGGTATAGACCCAGCCACAGTGAATTGTATTCCGTCGCCTAAAATCGGAGATCCAGGTTGCGAGCCCGGCTGTAGATGTATTGACGGTTACGTCAGGAATGATACAGATGCTTGTATTCCCAAAGAAGAATGTCGTAAGTAATCAAAACTTAATAAGCTCTGTTACCAAATTTCAGTTCACTGACCTGTCTACTGTTAGTATAATATTTTATAAGTAACGTTAACAACTGAATACGAAACTGAGCCAATTTTAATTCAAATTGGCTGATGTCTTTTTATCTTTTGCATATATATTTTATTTATTTAACTGTGGTGTGTACTGGAGAAAATGAAGAATATGATACCTGTCCAGCGCCTTGCCCACCACAAACGTGCGACAGTCTTAAAAGAAAATACTTTTGTCCCAAACAACGTATTGTAAACGGAAAATATATCCCAGACTCTAAAAGTGGCCAAAAGTGCGAGGGTTCATGTCGTTGCATACCTGACTATTATAGAAACAAACAAGGCATTTGCGTATCAAAAGAAAGTTGTAGTAAGTTAAAGAGCATTAATATAAACTATCGATGCACACACAAATTTGAGATTATCCCATCTTTTTATTAGGTGCGATCAATAGCCCTATACGGGGCGCCTGTGTGGGGCCAGTCCCTGGCCGCGGGGGTGGCGAAGCTGCTGCAACAGCTGCAACGCACCATCGCGGTCAGGGTCATCCGTGGTTATCGCACCATCTCCTTTGAGGCGGCGTGTGTACTGGCTGGGACGCCGCCTTGGATTCTGGAAGCGGAGGCGCTCGCCGCTGACTATCAGTGGCGGGCTGACCTTCGTGCCCGGGGCGTGGCGCGTCCCAGCCCCAGTGTGGTCAGAGCGCGGAAGGCCCAATCTCGGCGGTCCGTGCTGGAGTCATGGTCCAGACGGCTGGCTGATCCTTCGGCTGGTCGTAGGACCGTCGAGGCGTGACAGAGGACGCCTCACTTTCCGGCTCACGCAGGTGCTCACTGGGCATGGTTGCTTCGGTGAGTTCCTGCACCGGATCAGAGCCGAGCCGACGGCAGAGTGCCACCATTGTGGTTGCGACTTGGACACGGCGGAGCACACGCTCGTTGCCTGCCCCGCATGGGAGGGGTGGCGCCGTGTCCTCGTCGCAAATAAGGAAATACTTGTCGTTGCCGAGTGTTGTGGCTCGATGTCCGGCGACGACGAGTCGTGGAAGGCGGTGCTCGACTTCTGCGAGTGCACCATCTCGCAGAAGGAGGTGGCGGGGCGCGTGAGAGACGCACAATCCCGTCGCCGTCGAGCGGGGACCAGGGAGGCGGATATCGCCCAAGCCCTGGCCCTCTAAGTGTTTCGGGTCCCCCTCACATGTCGGTCTGGGGACCGGCGAGGGGGGCCTAAGAAGACGACGTGCAAGCTGCTCTGCACGCGTTTTACGCAAGAGCATCCGGGTGATGGAAGGCCGGCTATCCTCGACCCACGCTGGTTCTGGTCCAGCGGGGTATTCCGTAGGATAGCTCACTCTAACCGGCGCCATCTAGGCGGGCTTCGGATAGCCTGCCGACCGAGAGGGCTGGTGGTCGTGGCGCCGACGACCGCCAGTCCGGCGTCCCGAGGGGGAGGGTGATGGGAGAGATGTGCTCCGCACTAAAGCTTCACTTTCCCCCCTTTGCCTCTTCATGGTTCTTCTCATGCGAGGTTTGGACGTTGGTTG